ACGTGGAATTGCTTTAGCTTGCTGAGTGTCACTGAGCGGTTGAAGGATCTTGCTATGCTTGGCGCAGGGTTTGTTGTGTTTTGTCAACCTTGCGGTTGGAAGCTCATGCTTGGCGCAGGGTTTGTTGTGTTTTGTCAACCTTGCGGTTGGAAGGTCATGCTTGGCACAGGGTTTGTTGCCTTTTCCCACCCCACCCCACCCGGCCCACCCCACCCCTCACCACACACGCGCGCAGTCCACGCAGTCGGTTTCGAAAGCAATTCAGTAGTGTTGCGCGAGAAGTAAACAGGGCATGAAGAAAAGTCAAAAAGAAAGTCAGAAAAATAGACAATGGTAAAGGAAAGAAACAACTCACTTGAAAGGAAAAGGTCAAGAACGTTTATCGAATTAGAGCGCGAGAAAGAGAGAACACCCATACAGAGCAAAGAAAGAAAAGGTGAGGTTTCCGAGAAAGGCCATCTCCACCCAGAAAGGCCATCTCCACCCTTTCCCAAAGCGGCATTGAACTCAGAACATGTTCCTATAAGAAGGTTTCATCATCACAAACAAATGCACATGTCCTTCAATGCCCACGCACACCATGTCGGCGGTTTCCACGCTTGGGTCATGTTGCTTGCTAGGTGCCACTAAAAGTATCTAAAGATGAGGGAGTGACACCAATAACGGCACGTGTTTAGACGTTTCAAAGATCGTATACTCTCTCGTGGCATCGCACGCCTGATGGAACGTTTTTTGGTTCGAGCCGGAGGCATGCATGGTGATCACCATGCACACCACCAGACGGTGCACCTTGTCCAACATAATCCAAGCTACATGTTCACGGACACAACAATCTGTTAATTCCCTGTAACATATGGACTTTGAGTGACACTGTTCCAAGCTGTGTAAACTGAAAAGGTGAGCAGGCAACTCCCAACTGTACGAAACATGTGGTTCGTATAGGTGTTTTTCAGGGACCTGTCGGCACGGCCCGGGTGCCATGGATGCATCGGACCTGGCATTTCAACGTGCCCTGCAAAGGCTGGCGACTCGTATGTATCTTATGTGTATAGGGTTTCCCTTTTGGGGGTCTATGTGCATTTTATTCATTTGGGGGCACCGGGGCACCAGATTCTTTTTTGTTTTGTGAATTTGAGGGTCCAACTGACCAACCACTTCTCAAACCAGGTGAATAAACAATGTGCACCTTCTAACGCTGCTGATGATGAAGATGAATGGTGGGGCAAGTGGGCTCCGGCAGTGAAGGACGAGCCTGAGGTGAAGGAGGAGGAGAATGAATGGAATTGGGAGGAGGAGGTGGAGGAGGAGGTGAAGGAGGAGGTGAAGGAGGAGGTGAAGGAGGAGGAGGAGGAGGATCAATGGAATTGGGAGGAGGATGGAGATTGGAGGTGGGATGAGAATGTCCAAAACTGGACATGGTGTAAGAAGGAGGAGGAGTTGGAGGAGGAGTTGGAGGAGGAGGAGCTGGTCGCACCACCAGCTGCATGGTCTGAGGATGACGCGGACGATCCAACTCTGCCGGAGCGTGGCAACGACGATGAGGAGGACGACGCGCAGGACCAGCGGCCACGGCATCTTGATATTGTTTAGGTTTTGCATCTGTATATTTTGTTTTCATCTGGTTACATATATGGTTGTATTTAATTTAGTTTGTAGTTTGGTTGTTTTGAGCCCATGCTTGACCATTGTGGGAAGCCAATCAACTAAGGAAGAGGGCGCGTGGAAGAGGATCCATCATGAGACACAATAGCAACGCGCGGCAGAACGAACGGAACTTCATGAAGTGGATCAATCAGCAGTTCGTTCTTGCTCGACATGGAGCCAGCCGATGGCGCAAGGTTTTTTGGCACATTTGTGGGTTTGGCTGGAAAGTTTTGAGTTTTATGGCTTATGAACGTTTGTTTGAGTTTCACGTTTTGGGGTTGAGGCTAGTGGCGGCTAGTGAACGTGCAATAGTTGTTGAATCTTAGGATTCATGGAGCGCTGATTCATGGAGCGCTGATTCATGGAGCGCTGGTTCATGGAGCGCCGGACATCGCAACAGCTGGCGAGAGAGCACCGGCTGGAGGGAGGCTTGGAGGAAGTTTGAATCACATTTTGCCCTATTGGCACAACCTGTGCATGAGCACGAGCAGGACTTGCTCATATGCCCCTCAAAATTATGACCTTGCTCATACGCCCCTCTCGTAAGCAGGGTTTTTTCTCTATATGAATATGAAGTTTGTGGGATGTTCTTGCTAGATTGATGTTCTTGATATCAAGATTGTTTGGAAAAACAATCAAGTGAAGCCCTTTCTCTTGAAAAAACGGATTACTATGTTTTTGGAAAAAAAGGGGGTTACCCTTTTCATGCACTGTTTCGGGAAGCTGTGAATAGATTGCCGTGTTTGCTCATAGAAGTTGAACGCATCTCAGGAATCGACGAATGCATCAGCATCATCATCATGGCAGTACTGAAGGACGCGTTGGAAACACGGAATTAAGATCGCACCATGTCTATAGATGTAGACACGATCATTCATTCACACATTGGTTCGGTTGACATCAATCACCTCGTGTTTGCCAACGTTGCGTTTGCACACCGAGTGCTGTGTGACTCGCGCAGCGCGGTGGATCATTGGCCAGCTGCAGTGCGTATGTCATGATTAAAAAAATTGCAATTCCGCAATGACTACTACATGACTAGATGTTGTAGGAACACTTGGTGGAACGCGATATGCATTGCAGCAATTCTTTGTGGCAAACGCAACGAGATGAGATTGTAGCAGGGACTAGACATGTGCGACCTTGGTCTCTATATCGTATCACCCTTTTTCAACTCCAATGGCATCATAAGCCG